CCCATTGTGTAGCTTTGTGCTTAATTCCAAACAAACAAACAATATAAAACTTAACTAAACATACATGTTTTCTCAGTAGAAATTGTGTAAATTGTATGAAAATAGACCGAAAGTAAGCACGCAGCAGTGCTAAATTAAATATATTAATGTAGTGTAATATATATATTACAAAAATTAATACAGCAATATTATCAAACCGTTATAGCAGATAACGAAGAAAAAAATGCATGTATAGAGACAAAAAGAAAGAAAAAGATTGTTCTCATTTAAAGAAACAGAAAGCAAATTCTTTAAATATTTGGCAAAAGATGAGAAGACCCAAGTTGCTCTCATTGGTAATAGAGGAAATCTGGTTCATGTGAAGAGATAAACAGAAAAAAAGAAGTCTTCTAAAATTCCAGGAAATACGAAAATAGCAGCAACATAAAAGAGGATTAGTTGGAAATGCACATTCTTCATTGACTTACTTCATTATCACGGTAACAGCCCTAACGTCACTGTTAAGATAAACATTTTATAAAACTTAGTGCACACAAAGATGTATTACAAAATTGGCGAGGTGTAATAAAAATGCAAAATTTTCTGCTTTGCTTTTGAGCATTACTTATGAAAACAGTGATTTCGAATCTCGACCTAATCACCTCGATGTTGAGACAATGAGCTATCAAGGATTCGCCGTTCGTAACCCGTTGTGCACGAAAACGCGCTTTGCACTTTAAAGTCATAGGTGAAACAAACGCGTAAAACATCTTTCCTTTGAACACCAAAGCTTTTTACGGATCTGAAATATTTGTTTTTCTACTGAGAAGAATACAAATATATTTTCACGTTCTTCAAGCTGTTGACCTGTGTAAGTATTTTTGATGCACTGTGATACTCACAGGTAAAACTGTGACCAACAGATTGTAAATTGTAAATTTCGCTGGGTAACAGGAGGTTCGAAAATACTTGTTTGCAGAATAATAAAATAAACAAGGGCAGTAATTAAAGTGAAAAAGGTTGAAGTATATAACAAAGAATAAACAGAAATCTTTATTCACACAAAATAGGGTTGGTCGTTTCTTATGACACGTGTTGTATCACAAAATGTAAAAATTTGGTTATCTTCTAGTATTCAAACTCTCATGTTCCCTAGCTGCTACAAAAGAAAGTATAAAAATACGTCTTCACAGGACGAAGAGACCAAACTAATTGTGTCAATACCGCGATTTTTATCAAATCATGGTCTTATCGCGTCATCCCACAGTCTTAGATCATCTACGTCAATAACCATTCTCGTTATATTAGGTGACATTAAATTCTGGTTAACACTAATTTGAACAAATCTCTGCACCATCCCTTCATAGGGATATAATCCACAGCCCAGTGGCAGAGCATAAAGAAGTACAAGCAGTCTTGAATGACCACTGTGTTATTCAACCCTTGCCCAAAGCGATGATTCAAGCAATCCCACAGTTACCTACAGGAGGACATAAATAAACGTAGCACACCCGCAAAGAAAGTTTTAAAAATACACTTGAATAGAGATATCTTCTTATTCTAATTAAGAAAAGTTAAGATTTGATAATTTGCATGTGACATAACACCAGCCGTGATGTAAAGAATATAAGAACGTTTGCACATATATAATGTAATAATGAGAATTACAGCAATGTATAATTATAGAAAAGACTTAAGACTGACTCTGTCTTACTAAGCCTCACATCTTATGAGACATAAACAATTATTGTGTTAAAAAAAAGTCGATAATTACATAAACAACGTCATACTGAATTTCAAGCGGCAACATGGGTTGATTGTTTGTAGTTTAAGCACAAACTACACAATCGGATATCTGTGCTTTGCTCACCACTGGTAACGAAACCCCGTTACTAACGCTGTAAGTCCGCAGACATACAGCTGTGCTACTGGGTGGGGGGGGGGGGGGGGTCTTTGGGTTGATTACCATACAGAGTAACGATGCTTGTGA